GCTCCCATTCCCCGCAGCAAATAGTGAGCTTGCAAACTGTGTCCCCCCTTCCTCCAAGAACAAAGAGTGATAGCGAGCCAGGCTGGTTTTTTTATCCGCCCCTCCGGGAAACCAGAAGCTCTATTTGCTTGAGCTAAAAAAATCGCATTTCTCTTGCCTTGACAAATCCAGGGGGCCCTATCCAAAACCGATTTGTTTGAGCCAAACAAATTGCTTTTTTGCGCGCGGTGCCGGGGCCGTTTGTTTTGGCTCAGCAAATGGCAATCTCTTTGCCTCAAGGCATTTGAGCTCAAGCAATTGCATTTGCCAATTGTATTTGCCCGGAACAAAAACGCAGAGTCAGTCAGGCTAGTGCCGGCCGGCCATGGCTTTTATTCAGAATGTTGAAGGGTTCGATTCCTCAGCATTGTGTTTCTTAAACTATTTATTTGCCTTAGGACAGCCGGCAGGAAATGACAAAGAAAGGTTTGGCCGAGCATGCCAAAAAAGATCAACGCTTCCGCGGGCGCAAAAAAAACCGCTCCACGGAAGCTTCCGCGAGCTGCCGCGCCCTGAGCCGTTCCTTCCGCAAGATCCCATTTTGGCACCCTAAGACTAAGTATTTTTGGTCGCTGCTCAGGTGGTGGAAATGACTCCTTTGTGAAGAACCAAAAAAAGGACCTTGTTTCTCATAGGACCTTGTTTCGCGGAATTTCACGAAATTTCACGGAAATATGGTTGATTATACAGGCATTTTCACGGAATTTCACGGATTTTCACGTATGCGTGGCGCAGAGCACTCGCGAGTGCGCAGGTTCCTTCCTGGAGTCGAGTCTGCTGCTGCAGTCTGGAGTGCGCTGATTGGCGTCTGCAGTCTGGAATCTGCAGTCTGGATTCTGGAGTTGGCAGTCTGCAGTCTCGAGTCTGCAGTCTGGAGTTTGCAGTCTGGAGTCTGAAGTTTGCTGTCTGGAGTCTGCAGCCTGGAGTTTGGAGTTTGCAGTCTGAAGTCTGCAGTCTGGATTCTGGAATTGGCAGTCTGCAGTCTGGAGTCTGCAGTCTGCAGTCTGGATTCCGGAGTTGGCAGTCTGCAGTCTCGAGTCTGCAGTCTGGAGTCTGCAGTCTGCAGCCTGGAGTTTGCAGTCTGGAGTCTGCAGTCTGGAGTCTGGAGTTTGCATTCTGGAGTCTGCAGTCTGCAGTCTGGAGTCTGCAGTCTGGAGTCTGCAGTCTGAAGTCTGGAGTCTGGAGTTTGCAGTCTGGAGTCTGCAGTCTGCAGTCTGGAGTTTGCAGTCTGAAGTCTGAAGTTTGCTGTCTGGAGTCTGCAGCCTGGAGTTTGGAGTTTGCAGTCTGAAGTCTGCAGTCTGGATTCTGGAATTGGCAGTCTGCAGTCTAGAGTCTGCAGTCTGAATTCCGGAGTTGGCAGTCTGCAGTCTGGAGTCTGCAGTCTGGAGTCTGCAGTCTGCAGCCTGGAGTTTGCAGTCTGGAGTCTGCAGTCTGGAGTCTGGAGTTTGCATTCTGGAGTCTGCAGTCTGCAGTCTGGAGTCTGCAGTCTGGGAGTTGGCGGTTGGAGTCTGCAGTCTGGAGTCTGGAGTTTGCAGTCTGGAGTCTGCAGTCTGCAGTCTGGGGTTTGCAGTTTGGAGTCTGCAGTCCAGAGTCTGCAGTCTGGACTCTGCGGTCTGGATTCTGGAGTTGGCAGTCTGCAGTGTGGAGTTTGCAGTGTGCAGTCTGGAGTCTGGAGTTGGCAGTCTGGAACCTGCAGTTTGGAGTCTGCAGTCTGGACTCTGCAGTTTGCAGTGTGCAGTCTGGAGTCTGGAGTTGGCAGTCTGGAGTCTGGAGTCTGCAGTCTGGAGTTTGCAGTCTGGATTCTGGGGTTAGCAGTCTGCAGTCTGGAGTCTGCAGTCTGGAGTCTGCAGTCTGGGAGTTGGCGGTTGGAGTCTGCAGTCTGGAGTCTGGAGTTTGTTGTTTGGAGTTTGCAGTGTGGAGTTTGCAGTCTGGAGTCTGCAGCTGCAGTCTGCAGTCTGGAGTCTGGAGTCTGCAGTCTGGAGTCTGCAGTCTGGAGTCTGGGGTTTGCAGACGGGAGTCTGCAGACTCGAGTCTTCAGACGGGACTGAGCAGTCTGGAGTCTGGAGTTTGCAGTCTGGAGTCTGCAGTCTAGAATGGCTGCAAATCGAGCGGACCCGCCGCTGTGGGTCTGCGCGGGCCAGCCGCAAGTGCAGTCTGAGCGGGCCCGCCGCCATGAGTCTGCGCGGGCCAGCCGCGGGTGCAGTCTGAGCGGGCCAGCCGCTGGATTGTCAGTGCGCGTGTGCTTTGGCGCCTGAAGAGGAGCGGAAAGACTTAGCGATACAAACTCGTTTTGTGCATTTCCCCGCTGCCGCTGGATGCAAAAACGTGATGTTTCATGGAATAATACGCGCAAGCTAAGCCCCAGCTAGGTTCATTCTAAGTCCAGGCACCCGGAACTTGTCTCGAACTTGTTTCTGCACCTAACTAAGTTAACACTTAGCAAGTCAGTTATAACTAGGACTTCCACTTGGGGAAAACACAAGTCACTTGTGGCACGTTGAAAGTCCACATATAGTAACTTATCACTCAAGATAAGTACGACCCCATCCCAGTAGACATGTTGATTGAAGCAGTTTTTGAAAGACGCTCAGACGCTGGCCTCTAAAGCCTGCCATCACGTGACCAAACAAGCCCAGCCCTGTGACGCGAAAGCGAAGCAAATGAAACACTGGACAACTACGTGCTGTGTGTGCTTCTTGTTTGAGGGAGCCACTTGCGTCGCGTCGCAAAGGGGAGCTCAAGGCTGGCTACTCGAGGTCACCAGCAAATTGCTGGCACACGCTGGCGCGCTGGCGCAATGCTGGGCCCGCTGCTTCATTGAAAAGCTAGTTGTCCGTACTGCTTTGCTCATGGCTTGAGCGGCATGGCCATGTGACGCCAAGCTTTTTCTTCTTGTCAGCATTGGCTGCAATGACACACAAGCCACCCGGGCTTCAATTACTCCACGGACAGGCGCGCCCTGGCTCTCGAGGGGCGTCATCGCGCCTGCGCTTCATGCGATTTATGGCACGCTGCTGTCGCTTGCGCGCAGCAAAGTTGCGCTTGTCACACACGCTAAAATAATCGGCTCGTGTTGCTTGTTGCGCTGTAGCTAGTTCTGCGGGCCAGCTCTGAACCGTGAAAACGGTATGACCGTGAAAATCCCGTATGGCCGTGAAAATTTTGCCTCGAGGTCTTGAGCAGATTTGAGCAGTATGGCCTTGATAATTGAAGCCGAACGGGTGTCAAGGGCTGCGGCGGCGCTCCTCCGCGGAACCGGACTCCTGGTTGAGGTCTTTTCGCAGAGCTCCATGACTTGTCATCGTTCTTCTGTTCCGTCACGAGCCCCTTGATGACGTTGGCTCCGCCGCCCGTGCAAGTTGTCCGTGAGGTGGTGGTGGTGGTGGTGTCTGAACGGGCTCTGGTTTGATGACCGGGTCATTGGTCGGTGCCTCGCTTTCCCCTTTCTCACGGCCCTCAGAGCCACCATCAGCACCGCCAGGATCTGGTGCTCCATGTCGCTTGCGACCTCGCTGTCGTCGGCGCTGCGCAGACTTGTCGGTGTGCTGGGACTGGTTGTCGGGCTCGCCGCCTGCGGGGATGTACATCGAACACAACCTTCAGCATCCCGGTCAAGGTCCACCTGGTGGCCAACCTTCTGAACACCAACCTGGGTATCCACCTCACGGAGCGCAACGGCCAAATGGGTATGGAAAAGGTCTTCAGCCTCCTGCACCCAATCACGGATTACGTGGAGGTAGAAGTGGCCCGCCGGCCGAGGGAAGGACATATGCCTGCACAGTGTGTTCCTCCCTGGAGCTGGGATGGGATCCGCGCCTGGGAGCGTGGATGTGCTCAGCCTGTGGTTCATCCGAGGTGCACGACATCAACATGCCGACTACTCAGTCACTTGACCGTGATGGTCTCCATGGTCATGATCCAGGGAGCTGGCCAGGTCGTGGTCATCGTCCAAGAAGTAGTCCTGCCAGTCATCATCCGCACGCAGATCGTGAGGCGTATTGGGCTCCACGCAAGCATCGCTGCGAGCTCCATGACGAGGCCCGAGCAGCGACTGCAGGTTCAAGTGGCGTGGCTCAGCAGGTGCGGTGGGAGAGTATCCTTGACCGAGAGCACCGCCACTGCCAGGGGCCAGTGGGACCGGATCCCCCATGGGGCTAGCGGAAGAGCCGCAGCCGCTCCATGTGGGCATTTGCGAAGAAAGGCCCGCGGATCGAGCTCCGCTGCCAACTTGTGGGCAACTCTCAAGCGAAGACGAGAGCGGCTTTTCTCCATCCAATGCGGCGTGTCGCCGCGTGCAAAAAGGCTATTTATAGCCGCTTGAGCCCGAGGGCAAACGGATGTGGGCCTGATTGGCAACTGGGGACCGAAAGAACCGCACAGAAACAATCACAGAAATAAGAAATTGAAAAGAACACTTAAACGTTAAACAATCATCAAACTCAGTTGCCCAGCGGACCTAGAAATAAAGGGTGAACACCTTTTGCGGTCACTAAAAGTGCTTGCCAAACAGAGGAAACTAGAAGGTCAGACCCCGTCAATTCGCTTTGCTTTGTGGAAGTGAACAAACAAAATAGGGGACCCAGGACCCAGGAGACCCCCACAATAAAATAAATTGATTGTTTCGACTTGGCTGCCCTCTACCCCAACCCCCAAAAGGGTGCCCTCAAGAAACAAATCTCAAACGATCCAAGTGAGCAGACAAAAGCTAGGCTTCAACCCCCCAAACTACCAATCCAAACCACCAACTAAGGAGTTCCTGAATCCAACAAACCTCGTTACCAACGCACACACACACAATCACACACCTTGCTGGTTCTCAGCAGGCAATGGGAATTGGATGAATTGGAATGACCCCTATAAACCATCCAACTGGTGGCTTTCTTTAAGTTCTTTGGGTCCATTCGCCCACCAAAAAAAAAAAACGGAAGAGTCATTCCCTGAGCACCGACTGAGGTGGGCGCGATGGCGTCCTTCAGCTTCTCCACGTCCTCCCCGGCCATGGCCGCCACCAGCGCCTCGGTGGCCTCCTCCGATCGCTCCTCCGCTTCTTTGGCGGCCTCTGCCAGGGGGACGGGTGGGTTGGGGGGGGGGGGAAAGGGGTCGGGGCGGGGGGAAGGGGTCGGGGGGGGGGGAAGGGTTCGGGGCGGGGGGGTAGTGACCCGAGTTTGCTTGTGAAGTGGCTGCGTTCCAAAGACCGATCAAGCATTTGGTTCAGCGAGGCAGGTGCAGATGATGGTCAACCCCTTCCCATCCACTTTTAAAATCAGAGTTCAACATGGAATTTGATATCTCCAGTCATTTCATCAAGTGGATCAACCCACACATTCTCACCAACCTGAATTCTCCAAAGCCCCCAACCCCCCACCCCCCAACCCCCGCCCGGGCCACTGCAGGGATGCACCCAAGCACGCCACTCAAGTTGTCAAGTGTGCCCGCGGTTCATGCAAAGGGATTGGGCCCTTGCACCTGAACCACCGTGTAAATCACTTCCCTTCACCTCACAATTCCTGATGGAAGACCTCCGGCGTTCATTGGAAGGCGGGAAGTTGAAGGATCCTGAACCCTCGCTTGGGATAGCGAACCTGGGAACTGCAAGCATCTCTACTCTTTTGAAGAGCGGTCGGTTGACTGATGGGGGCGGCATTCCCAAGTTTCCCAGGATTGTTGCAGGTATGAATTGCTTTCAACAATGCTCCAGTTTCAAGTACTGTGTGTGTGTGCGCGCGGCGTGATGATAATTCCTGTTTTGAGGAATGCATTCATTTTGCTGCTACTTTCCAATTGGCTGCTTTGACTTTGATCTTTGACTCTTCCCTGGAAGTTGTCAATTTCGATTTGTTCATGGGCCGCCTTCCTTTTGCCTATGCGCTCGTTCGATCGCCCAGGGGTGGGCAACGATTCATTTGATGTGGAATGCAAAGGTTGCCGAAGTGTTGGTTTTAGCAAGTTCCAGGTGCATGATCCTTGATATCAATCCTGAAGAGCAGTCCAAAACTGAGTTGCCTGTGAGTGCTTGTGCGGGGGGCAACCCTTTTCTTCGGGCCCGTTGGGTTCCGATGAGAGGTCTCGTGGTGTGTGCGAGTGTGAGTCAAATAAGCCCCCACCCCCTCCCCCCCGTTTTTGGGGTGGTTTTCCTTCTTGCCTCCATTTAGATGGACCCCAAAGGGTACCCTAAACCGGGCACCCGTGCGCCCAAACAGTCTAGCGTTGGAAAAAGGGCCATTCATCTCCATGAGTCTCCGTACCCATCCAGTCACACCAGAGACCGAATCGCCACCACACAACTACAAGAAGCAAAAACGGCCACAACGACGGCGCCTGCATCGCGCCAAGCCGTTGCTCCCCTTGCTGCAGCAGCTCCCAGCCCACCTTCGCCCGGCGTGCCGCGCCCAGCGCCGCGCGCAGTGCCTGGCGCTTAGCCCAAAGCCCAACGGGTCTGGGCGCTAGTCCAAAAACGAATCCCTGCCTTGTAAGAAAATTCAGCCCTTTACATTTGGCCAAAAGACCAAACTCTCCCCTACCAAACCAATACTGAACTCCTGACAGCGCTTGGGGGGTTCGTTCAGCACTTCCCGTCGTCTTAACTGTAAACCATTTTTACTTTTGCCTTTCAAATTTGAGTTGACAAATCCAACAAGTGAGCTGGTGGCGGGTTTGGTGGTTGTTGCGGCCGGCAAAGGGGGGGGACCCTATTTGGTCGAAAACTGTACTGGAAATCCCTGTGAGCCCCCTGAAACCCTGTGAATAAATTTGTTTTCCGCTAAAAGTGCTACTCACTAATATAGATTACTCTGAGTTTTCGAGCAGCTACCTGTCATTTCCTTTGTTGGAACAGGGCAAGGGGGGCAAACTGACAAATCGCTGCTGTTTAGCTCCAAGTTTACAGATGCGGCGCGTGGCTTGCAGGCACAAAAAGGCTGGGTGATTGACAAGCATTACACAATAGGAACACAAGCTAAGCTTAAAGCAAGCCGCCTTGATGATTGACGCCAGTCATTGGTTTTTGGGCTTTGTCGACTGTGCTCCTTACATCTCCTTACTTGTACCTCTGAGAACGCATAGCAACACCGGCGTGTCTCACAACTTGCTAGCTTCTCCTGCTACAAGGTCGTGGTTTCTTCCACGTCTGCAAACTGAGGCAGGCCGTCCACGTGACATCTCGCGCAGCTTCCCTGGCAGTTTCCCACCGGATGGTGTGCCATGCCTCCAGGTCGTTCTGCTTCATGCAGGCGAGAAGCTCATTTACCGCCAGAAGCGAAGCTTTTGCCTCGGATACGGCCTCAAACCTCCGCCCCGAAAAGGAATTCACACGCTTTGTCAAGGACCTGATCTTAGATAAACACATGCAAGTTCAGCAAATTCTGGAAGGCGGGGGCGTGGCACTGGAACAAGCGGCGGTCCATTAATCATTTGACATATCAAGTCAAAAAAATAAAAGATACAAACACTCCTTCAGAAACAAAAGCCGCACAGCAACATTCCAAGTTGCAGATTCCTCCTTCTCTTGCAGTTGCCACAAAAGTTGTTCTGCTGCAGCAACGACTTCAGGCTTTACGTCAGCTGCTTCTGCCCTGGCAACGGCCATCTCCAAGGGTCCGATGATCTCTGCCGCCATCGCTGCCTGCAAGGCCTCTTCTGCCGCTTTGCGCTTCTGTTCGGCCTTCAGCTGCTCAAGTAGCTGACTGAGTCTGCGCCGACCCTGCTCAAGCAAGTCCGGAGCAACCGAGGCTGCTTCTGCAGCGGCCAATGCGTGCTGTAGGTCCTGCCCGGGTTCTCGACTGCGTTCCAACTAATCCTCACCCATCCCTCTCAATATCAATCAATGTCTTTGAGTAACACTCGGGCCAGCCTTCAAAACACAGCTTCTTCAACCCAGTTGCAAAAATAGAAACACATATGGTCCTCCATGTTGCCGCCCTCCATTGCCAATCGGAGCGCCTGCACGGCCTCTTCCCTCGCTTGCAGGCTCTGCAGCAGGTCACACGCCTTCGAAAGGACCTGCAGGGATGGGCTCGTGATATGGCCCGCGCGTGTCAACACCAGCTGCAGCTGTTCTTGCCAACATGCACAAAAATGACACCCTCCCAACATTGCATCAAACGCCAAAGAGAGAGGCATCACTAATGCTGATATATAGTCTCCATTCTTGTCAAGCTTTACGATGATGGAGATTGAGGATGAATGGTTTGACAACAAACACATCCCATTCTTCCACCCTTGCCTCGTGGTTTACGTCAGCTGCTTCTGCCCTGGCAATGGCCATCTCCAGGGGTCCGATGGTCTCTGCCGCCATCGCTGCCTGCAAAGCCTCTTCTGCCTCTTTGCACTTCTGTTCGGCCTTCAGCTGCTCAAGTAGCTGACTGAGTCTGCATCGGCCCTGCTCAAGCAAGTCCCCAGGAACCGAGGCTGCTTCTGCAGCGGCCAACGCGTGCTTTAGGTCCTGCCCATGTTCCCAAGTGCCATCCAACTTTAATCCTCGCCCAAACCTCTCAATGACTCTCGAGAACTCACAATCTCCTTATGTTTCGCCTAGTCTACTCCGTTCTGCTTTGGGCTCCCTGGTTTTACAACAAAACAAGCAGCAGGAACGAACTACGGTCCTCCACATTGCTGCGCTCCATTGCCAAACGGAGCGCCTGCGCTGCTCGCTCCGCAGCTTCCTGGGCCGCTTGTGCTGCTTCTTCCCTTGCTATCAGCCTCTGCAAGAGGTCGCGAGCGCTGGAAAGGACCTGACGCGCAGGGCCATGTAATCTCCGTGCTTGGGTGCGCCTGATGTTTTGCGCGCTGGACAGCGCGCATGCGAAAGCAACATCCGCATTTACATCAGCCCCAACGGACACAACACGGCAACACCATGTCAAATCAAGAAACTTGTATTCACAATCTATGTGTTTCCTGGCTCATGCCTCATAATGTTTGATAGTCTGCACCAGCATCGCTTATCTACAAAACTACTACCAAACAATCTATACCGCATCAACATCGCAAGTTCCACCCTTGCCTCGCGATTTACGTCAGCTGCTTCTGCCCTGGCAATGGCCATCTCCAGGGGTCCGACGGTCTCTGCCGCCATTGCTGCCTGCAAAGCCTCTTCTGCCGCTTTGCGCTTCTGGTCGGCCTTCAGCTGCTCAAGTAGCTGACTGAGTCTGCATCGGCCCTGCTCAAGCAAGTCCCCAGGAACCGAGGCTGCTTCTGCAGCGGCCAACGCGTGCTTTAGGTCCTGCCCATGTTCCCAAGTGCCATCCAACTTTAATCCTCGCCCAAACCTCTCCTTATCTTTCGCCTAGTCTACTCCGTTCTGCTTTGGGCTCCCTGGTTTTACAACAAAACAAGCAGCAGGAACGAACTACGGTCCTCCACATTGCTGCGCTCCATTGCCAAACGGAGCGCCTGCGCTGCTCGCTCCGCAGCTTCCTGGGCCGCTTGTGCTGCTTCTTCCTTTGCTATCAGCCTCTGCAAGAGGTCGCGAGCGCTGGAAAGGACCTGACGCGCAGGGCCATGTAATCTCCGTGCTGGGGTGCGCCTGATGTTTTGCGCGCTGGACAGCGCGCATGCGAAAGCAACATCCGCATTTACATCAGCCCCAACGGACACAACACGGCAACACCATGTCAAATCAAGAAACTTGTATTCACAATCTATGTGTTTCCTGGCTCATGCCTCATAATGTTTGATAGTCTGCACCAGCATCGCTTATCTACAAAACTACTACCAAACAATCTATACCGCATCAACATCGCAAGTTCCACCCTTGCCTCGCGATTTACGTCAGCTGCTTCTGCCCTGGCAATGGCCATCTCCAGGGGTCCGACGGTCTCTGCCGCCATTGCTGCCTGCAAAGCCTCTTCTGCCGCTTTGCGCTTCTGTTCGGCCTTCAGCTGCTCAAGTAGCTGACTGAGTCTGCATCGGCCCTGCTCAAGCAAGTCCCCAGGAACCGAGGCTGCTTCTGCAGCGGCCAACGCGTGCTTTAGGTCCTGCCCATGTTCCCAAGTGCCATCCAACTTTAAACCCTCTCCTTATCTTTCGCCTAGTCTACTCCGTTCTGCTTTGGGCTCCCTGGTTTTACAACAAAACAAGCAGCAGGAACGAACTACGGTCCTCCACATTGCTGCGCTCCATTGCCAAACGGAGCGCCTGCGCTGCTCGCTCCGCAGCTTCCTGGGCCGCTTGTGCTGCTTCTTCCTTTGCTATCAGCCTCTGCAAGAGGTCGCGAGCGCTGGAAAGGACCTGACGCGCAGGGTTGTGTAATCGCCGTGCTGGGGTGCGCCTGATGTTTTGCGCGCTGGACAGCGCGCATGCGAAAGCAACATCCGCATTTACATCAGCCCCAACGGACACAACACGGCAACACCATGTCAAATCAAGAAACTTGTATTCACAATCTATGTGTTTCCTGGCTCATGCCTCATAATGTTTGATAGTCTGCACCAGCATCGCTTATCTACAAAACTACTACCAAACAATCTATACCGCATCAACATCGCAAGTTCCACCCTTGCCTCGTGGTTTACGTCAGCTGCTTCTGCCCTGGCAATGGCCATCTCCAGGGGTCCGACGGTCTCTGCCGCCATCGCTGCCTGCAAAGCCTCTTCTGCCTCTTTGCGCTTTTGTTCGGCCTTCAGCTGCTCAAGTAGCTGACTGAGTCTGAATCGGCCCTGCTCAAGCAAGTCCCCAGGAACCGAGGCTGCTTCTGCAGCGGCCAACGCGTGCTGTAGGTCCTGCCCATGTTCCCAAGTGCCATCCAACTTTAATCCTCGCCCAAACCTCTCAATGACTCTCGAGAACTCACAATCTCCTTATGTTTTGCCTAGTCTACTCCGTTCTGCTTCGGGCTCCCTGGTATTGCAACAAAACAAGCACCAGGAATGAACTATGGTCCTCCACATTGCTGCGCTCCATTGCCAAACGGAGCGCCTGCGCTGCTCGCTCCGCAGCTTCCTGGGCCGCTTGTGCTGCTTCTTCCTTTGCTATCAGCCTCTGCAAGAGGTCGCGAGCGCTGGAAAGGACCTGACGCGCAGGGCCATGTAATCTCGGTGCTGGGGTGCGCCTGATGTTTTGCGCGCTGGACAGCGCGCATGCCAAAGCAACATCCGCATTTACATCAGCCCCAACGGACACAACACGGCAACACCATGTCAAATCAAGAAACGTTTATTCACAAAACTACTACCAAACAATCCATCCCGCATCAACGTCGCAAGTTCCACCCTTGCCTCGCGATTTACGTCAGCTGCTTCTGCCCTGGCAATGGCCATCTCCAGGGGTCCGACGGTCTCTGCCACCATCGCTGCCTGCAAAGCCTCTTCTGCCTCTTTGCGCTTCTGTTCGGCCTTCAGCTGCTCAAGTAGCTGACTGAGTCTGCGTCGGCCCTGCTCAAGCAAGTCCCCAGGAACCGAGGCTGCTTCTGCAGCGGCCAACGTGTGCTTTAGGTCCTGCCCATGTTCCCAAGTGCCATCCAACTTCAATCCTCGCCCAAACCTCTCAATGACTCTCGAAAACTCACAATCTCCTTATGTTTTGCCTAGTCTACTCCGTTCTGCTTTGGGCCCCCTGGTTTTACAACAAAACAAGCAGCAGGAACGAACTACGGTCCTCCACATTGCTACCCTCCATTGCCAAACGGAGCGCCTGCGCTGCTCGCTCCGCAGCTTCCTGGGCCGCTTGTGCTGCTTCTTCCTTTGCTATCAGCCTCTGCAAGAGGTCGCGAGCGCTGGAAAGGACCTGACGCGCAGGGCCATATGATCACTTTGCCAGGATGCGCCTGCTGTTGCAGTGCTGACACACGCGCGTGCAACACCAGTAATTATCCTCATCCATTGAATCCCAACGGAGACAACACTGCAATAGCTGATCAAACCAGCAAGCCTAAAAGTAAAGCAAATGCTGTCCCTTGCTCATGTCTCATTATGGCTTTATTCATAATATGTGCCTGCTCCAGGCGCCAGAAAAGCTTGTATATAAAACTGCTACCAAACAATCCATACCGCATCAACATCGCAAGTTCCACCCTTGCCTCGTGGTTCACGTCAGCTGCTTCTGCCCTGGCAACGGCCATCTCCAAGGGTCCGATGATCTCTGCCGCCATCGCTGCCAGCAAAGCCTCTTCTGCCTCTTTGCGCTTCTGTTCGGCCTTCAGCTGCTCAAGTAGCTGACTGAGTCTGCGCCGGCCCTGCTCAAGCAACTCCGGAGCAACCGAGGCTGCTTCTGCAGCGGCCAGCTTTTGTTGCAAGCTATCAATGTCCGTCTCATGCACCGCTTGGAGCAAGTCGTCTGCTGCTTTTTTCATGGTCTCCTTAATTATTTGGTGTGGGCATTCACCAACCCAAGCCGACAAAGCACTGCAAGTTGTGCGTCTGACAGGCGGGCCAACCCAACGAACTCCCAAAACAGCGAACAATACGCATCTGGCTGCGAGATTCATTGGGCACCACCTCCCTACTGCTGGTGGACATGAATCCCCCACCCAATTTTATGTCTACCAAAATGTCACACTAAAAGCAAATACCACGCACACGGCATCACTTGCCATCCGAGCTGCTTGTTCTTGGTCCTTCTCTTCTCGCTCCTTTTCACCCAGCTCCTTCCACCTCTGCCTTGCCCTCTGAAGCAGCTCTTGGCCCACCCCAGCGGCCTCGGCCTCGCGCAGTGCCGCGTCCAAAGCTTCCGCGTCGGTGCCCAGCATCGCCGCACTCAGCTTCTTCATGCTGCGGCCATAGGCGCTGAGCCCTTCCTTCCTCAAGCCGAGAAGTGTCGAAAGAACTGCTTCATGTATGGGAGTGGGGGGGGGGTGGTGTCCGAAACTGGTGGGCTAAGTTTAGATTGAGCCGCGCGCATAAACACGGGCAACAAGGCATCCCCTCAACGCCAAATGCACCTATCAGCTATCACGCAAGAGTCGACGTTTGACGGCTGAAAATGGAACGACCCTTCTCACACTCTGGCTTCCATCAGATTTCTCAGGCAGTTTGACGAACAGGCTCTAAGATTGGGAAATGCAAATGGTGATGACTTGGTGGGGTCACACAGCTACTCTCAAGGCTTCGCCCCTCCCCTTGATCTAGGAAGATAATTGCTGTGAGAGCCAGGCCAGGAGAAAGCAACACCTGTGATGGCTGCTCAACATGTCACAAAGAACCCTACGCACTGTTTAGAGTCCTCAGCCAAGTTGCTCCTTGCCATCCTGCGGAAGAGTGCTGGCTTGCAAGACTGCAGTGGCCTTGGCAATCGCCTCCAGTGCTTGGCTTTTGTCACTGCAGAAAGAAGGGTGAAATGGCAAAGCTGGCAGCGTGCCCGGCGGAGACCGCCCAGGGGGCGGTGGCACCGCTGGTGGTGACAGGGCTCTTCGCTTCTCTTCCTTTGCCTTTCGCTTCTCTTCCCTCCGCTCCCTCCGACGCTCCTTCCGCGATTTGCTGGAAGGATCCACAGGCGACGTAGCTTCAGTGTCATCTTCAGTGTCCAAAATGCCCGGCGGCTTGTCCTCAGGCACCTTTCAGGATGCAACCGCGCAAATGGTGTAAGGGTGCAACTGGATATGCAAACGTGGCAGCGTCCCAAAGCAAAACCGCACCGCTGCGAAAACACAGGTATGCTAACAAGGGTTGAGGTTGGTCAAATACAAAGCCCACCATTTGCAAAAGGTTGAGTGCTCCCTCCTTCTGGGAAAGCACTCCTTCCCAAAGAAAGTCTATGTCGGCATACTCTGGAAGACTTCATCTTCCCGGCATGGAGCAACAAAGTCTGACCCGAACTGAACCAAAGAGTTGGGGCTGCTTGCAAAATGGCTTTTGCTGGCTTCATCACCCCTCTCATTGTCTCCCATTTGCCTCTGGAGGCAGCGGGGCATCTTCTGGCGGCTCTTCTTCAGGCTGCATCTTGCTCACAAGTCGTGGCGGATCCTCCTCCTGATCCATCCGCAGTGTCCAACGCCGAAAGTTGAATCAAACACGGGATGTGGTCTAGCCACTGCCCTTAGTATGTCATTGTTACAGCAGGGGGCTTGAACACCGAAGCGCTGCCCGAGATTTCGCATGCCTGCGCGTCTTCTTCTTTCTCGACCGCCTCCTCCTTCATAGCTGGCACCGCCGAGATTTTTGAGTCGCTGAAGCCGAGCCTTCTCCTGAAGGCATTCGCACGAGCTCTAAACAAACAAATAGCCAAGCTTGTAGACTGGAGCAGTTGACAAACGTCTGGTGCAAATCTTGGCCAATGTTGGCAAGTTGATTGAATTTGCCTCAGTCGGCAGACTTGAAACCTATCTGTTGGCTGCATGCGCTACCCCGTCAGATCCGGCCCTGCAGCAAAAAGCTGGCTGCCCAAAAGTCAGAGCTACTCAAATGTCTCCTCAAACGCTTCCAAAGCTTTCTTCGCAGCCCAGGGCAAGCGACCAAAGGAACGATGCACAAGAGCAGCAGCACGGAGATGGTGATGCCAACCTGATGAAGGCCAGTGCAACACTCTGGCTGCAACACCTTGCCAACTGGGCAGGTCCAAGAAGGTCTGATGCCACGCAAGTAAGTCTTTGTAAACATCACATGCCCGTCTTGTGTGGCTTTGGCTTTCGGCTTCCGTGTCGCATGCAAGGACCGCACATAATCATTCGCTCTGACAGCTGAGCCGTATACATGGCAAACCAATACAACCCGCTCGCACATGTCGCGAGTGTCTCGGACCCTCTCGTCTGAAATACACGACAAAAAATCAAAACAGGATTTATGAGGCACGGATCGTTTGCCATGCCGATTGTCATTCTAAGCAATGAAGCGCTGTGCCAGGCGTTGCTACAGCCTCTAAGCTATTATTTTGAGACAACAATTGGTTGGTCTACGCACCTACTTGTATATCGCAGGCATGTGGTGGTGCTGTACATCTCTGCATGTTCACAAATTCAGATCAACAATGGCAACACTCGGGATAAATCGAAGGCCAGTTGGCACCAGTAAGTGGGACAACGAAACCGACATGGGGAGTCGTGCCATCTTTCCCTCTGCCCCCTCTCCCACCAGGGCACTGCCGCCGCCACGCTGGCGGATTCTGCCGCGGCATCCTGCCAGCCGATCTCCAAGGTGCCCAAAGGCGGCAGAAAAGCGTTGCACCAAGGCCCCTCCGTATAGCCTACAAACCGAAACCGAAACCGTGCTCCGGAAACTGTGTGCTCCGAAAACCTGGACGAGTCCTAAGAATTGAGATCCTGGAAATTGGCCGAAAGTAATCCCGGGAAGAACTGGACTGCGCGACATGGAAACTTGAAAGGCTGTCAACATGGCTACTGCGCTAACTGGACATCTCTTGGCATCGCTTTATACCCCTTGCGAGTGAATGCAGCAAACGGAATGTCAAAAGATCAGACCATGACGTATTTTCAGGGGCAAGGCGCCACACCAACACCACACAACCATTAAACACACACTGCTCCAGAAGCGTCGTAGCCAAATGCACCACCACAATATCCAGTTCACAGTGGCTGATGGCAAGTCACTACATAGTTTGAGGGTCGCAATTGCATCAATCTGACAAATCCATGATGCATTCAAACCAATTTCAACCCAGAAGAAAGTGCCAACAGGTAAAGCAATTAAACATATTGAAACTGAATCAGCCAGGGTAAGGCCCACCACACGTATCGTTCAAATCTCCTTTTGGCCCCTTCTAAGGGCCTCGTTGATTAAACCACTGTTGCCCAAGGCTATCAGCAGTTCGGTTGGGTTTGTCATTTTGAGGGTCCCCCTTTTGTGGTTGTGGGTCCCCTAAAAAAAGACACACCCAGCTCACCGTGCTGACTGTGCTGGCCAGGGGCAAAGGCAGAGCTCGTAGCTGCCCGCGGCTACCCCGTGGAAGCCGCACACCTTCCCCCCGTCGGCCAGGGCTGAGCAGCGGGCATGCGCCACCGCTTTGGCACCGTGGTGGCAAAGACCTGAGGCCGACTCACAGGAAAGACCCAACCGTAGGGACCCATCACTTGAGGTCTCGTGGTGAAAAATGATTGTCAGGGCCTAAGGGGTCCCTAGGGTCGAAGATCATGATCTGTGCCAGCAACCAGTTGTTCAATTCCGCCACCTGCCACGCAGATCGGCCAAGAGTGGCACTGCAGCAATCTTGCGGTGATTCTCTCGTTTTGTTCACCGAAAGTGGCAGTGCCAGGACCGAACATGAGGCTAGCATCTCAATTGAAACCAACATGGAAACTCTGCACGTTGCAAGACTTGTCATATGTACACATGCATATTTATAGATATTTACCAACATACATATATGTACATTTTGTGTTTCCAAAACGAAACTATATAACAAATGCGATGGGCAGCAAGCAGCAAAACGCTGGTAAAGGGTCATGCCACCACTTTACCCTCTGCTTTCCTGTTGGCTACCGTCTTTTCAGTGGCCTTTGCCTGGTGGGTTACCACCTTGGTTCAAGGCATCCCTTTGAAGCCAGGGACTTAGCTGCAAGCACCCACTTCCGGCATGGGCCCTGCCTTGCGAGGCGGGTGCTGTGAAAGTAGCATCGCCTGGGATAACCAGGACGCCATGAAGATCATTGGTCCTGAGCTGGCTGCCAGCTGAATCTCTCGAAACCTTCAGTGGGGAAACACGAGAGGGGCATAAAGAGTAGCGGCAGCACGTGAGCTCAGCATGCCATACCCTGCAATACACTTAGAAGCAGCGACTTACTCAATGAGGCTGACCCTGCAATGGCCTGCTGTGCACGCACGGATGCACACAAATACGAGGGCCAAGCGTCAGGTTTGCTCCGGTTAGCTGCAGCTCAAAGGGCTCAACGGGCATGGGCCGTTCCGGATTCGTGCGCCAATCATGCACTTGCGCATCACAAGCAGGTTCTTTGCAAAACCGCTCCTCCTCAATATCCGAGCACCTCAGAAGAAAAACAAGTGGCCAGAAACGAGAGTGAGGTTGGAAAGGCCTCTGGAAAGTGAACACTTTGCAGGCCTCCCATTAAGTAAATCAATGTCCAAGCTACGTCGCACTGGGGTCCGCCACGCCGATTACACGGCGCCGCCACACCTCCTTGCCCGCCCCGCAGGCCGCGGAGCAAGGTATCAGCAGTTGCCATGGGCCAACCACACAGCCATCAACGACTGTCCTCTCACCAAAGATCTCCGCGTATCCTGGGCATTGGGCAACATGAGATCTTGAGTCTTAACCCTGAAAGGACTGACAATCCAAAGAAGCCCTGGGTCGGGCTATTTGGCTACAACCGAAGTGAGGAGGCTCCGCTGAGACGCTGAGGCAAGGCACCAAGGTAGTGAGGAAGCATCCCGCTGCCCTCCGGCAGCCAACATAGGGCGTGAAGGCCTTCGGCCAGCAAAACCTCGAACTTCAGCAGCGAGCTGCTCAGCTCAGAGGGGCTGTGCACCGTACTCCTGCGAAAGATCTCTTGTGTGACATGTTTTCACACGTTCGAATCTGGGACTTCAGCATCAACCCACCCCAGCCACACTAAAAGCTGACAGGACAGCCTAGTGTGGAGCGAATTTATGGATTGAGCGTTGTATCAGGTTTCGATGCAAAAAAGCAGGTTTGTCAGTGACCCCTGATAAGATTCCATTGGCGAGGATTCTCAAACTTGTTCCGATCGCAATCTCGCCAAGCATTGCCCAAAGGCCTGCAACTTCATCTCCTCATTCCCCCAATGCATGATTTAGCTAGCAGGATGGGACAAACACCAATTACCAAACACAATCCACTGTTCATCCAGAGCGCTTCACGGGCAGCAGGCGGCCGTCGCCGATGCAGGCGGTAGCAGAGTCGAAGCTCCCAGAGTCCAACGGCACGGACACGAGGCTGTCTGTGCCAAAGCCTCTGCCGCCCAGCTGAATCTCAGTGAGCTCGCCCGCGGAGCCGTGCACCGTGCTGTTCAGCGGTAAGGGCCCAAAGACTTCCAAGGCGCCCAAATGGTGCCAGCCCTGGCAGATCTGGGACCTCAAACGCAGGGTATAGAAAGGCGCTACCGCCTATTTTCCTGATTCGTCTAGCCCATGCCACTTAGATTGTAAATGCAGCACTTCCGGCCCAGTCAAAGCCTGGGGCCCTTCCCGAACTTTGCAATCTGGATCCCAGCAGCATCGGCACGGCCACGCTCTCGCAAATGCACCTGGCTCCAGCATGCGGACAGGAAGGCGAGGCACACATCAGGCCGTAGCAACTACATACTGCAGGCACATACATACAAAACGATCAACAGGTAGACTCGCGGCCCTGACCCCGTTTGCTATCGCAACAAGAAAATCAAAAAAGCCAGCGGCAAAACCACAAGTTGCCAAACACCCCAAACAAACAAAGGGAAGCCACAGCTCAAACATCGCAATGACCACCAAGGCGCAGCTCGAAGTCTCCTGGGACAGTGCCCCGGGCGAAGTCCAAGTCGGTACACTCCGAACCTTTGCACGGCAGGCCAGCAATGCCTGGAGCGTTCGGCTCGCTGCATGTGGCGCCTGCCAGGACAGCTTTCCTGAGCGGGAGTGTTGGGGTATGTTGACACCAGCTTGTCTGATCAAAGTGATTGGCGAAAGGTCCCGATTGGACATGCGAAGGCGTCTTAGCTTGTGGCTATGGCTGCAGTGATTGTATTCATTTTTTTTTAGGAGACACATCCAGTTTGGCTTGTTATGACACGTGTTAAATCTGAGCGAGAGCCAATCTCGTGCCACGGCTTTTGCTTTGCATTGGATGTGATTGGGTGTATGCCCTAGATGGGAACCATGCGACTTGTTGCATTGCTAGCATTGTTTTTTGATTTTTCAATTATTATTTTTCGGGCCTGTCTTTTTTGACGTCTAAAGGAAAACCCATGGAAACACAGAGATTACTTGGGGGGCTCCCCTATTTTAAAAACAAACCCATGCACTGTACCGATCTGTACCGGAACATGGCCGCTCGAACTCCGAAGTCGAGGCGCATCTGCACGCTCAGGCCCCCGTGCAGCGCCATAGGCTCGGTACCCAGGGCCCCCCCCACGGGCCGGCGCCAGCTGCCGCGCCAGTCCATGGGGGGCGCAGACAGCTGCAGCGACGGCCCAAAACTGCGGCAGGGGAAGGAGGCCAGTCCTGGAGCTCTGTCTGGTGCCAAGGGTCCCTGTAGGGGAGTACACCCGGAAACAGAACACTTGGAGGCAAAACGCCTCTGAAACAGGTCCAAGGTGGGTTTCTTTAGGCAAAACTCTTTCAGAAGCCTCACAGGGTCCATTCAAGTGGACGGCCGACTTTGGGAGTGGTTCAACCTAAGGAAGTTTTCCTTAGCTATGCGGATGACGGTGCTCAGGGTACATCCCTGCACCATCGCTTTTTGCTCCTAAGGGAGGCTGTCCGGATCGATGGACTGGCTCTGACAAACATATGAACAATTGCGATCATCTCTTGATATTAGCCAAACGTAGTCAAGTCAGGATGTTTGAGGTGTGTTTGGGACCATGGGGAAGCACCAAAGTTGGTTCATTTTCTTTGCGGCGCAAGGTGTCTGGAAACTTTTAGAAGAACTCCAACACCTGAAATAAGGCCTCGGGATCCCCAAGTAAAGAACCAACATCACGGCCTTCGCCGTTTTACCCCCCCCCCCCGCCGAATCCATGGCGTGGCCACTCCTGGCAGTGTGCCGTTCTGCGCGCAGGGTCCGCTCTCCCCCAACGCAGCGCAGGAGAGGTTCAGGAGGACCCCATCCAGCGCCAACGGGTCGGCATGAACCAGGGGAAAGCTATAGGTTCCTGCAATTTGCGCAGTGAAACATGCTGAGACACGGCAGGTGCAGACCGATGGGACCCAAACACATTGAAGCGCCTGGGTAGGACAGCTGGGATGGAGTTGCCGGCACCAGGTCGGTGCAGCTCTGGAGTCCACCACGGGCGCAGCAGCGGATGCCCGTGGCAGGTTCGATGATGCGCACCTGCAACAATTTTGGGCTCCGTAACTCCCAGACTTCCCCAAGAAGCATGCCACGTGAACTCGCACAAAGTACGCCTGCATTCGCATGAGAAAGAATCTGGGATACTGAAATGCCGGGTTCATGACGGCCGATTTCGAATCAGTAAAGTTTTAGATGGTCCAGCCCTTAGCCGTTGGTGGCATGTGTTGGCCACGGCAACTCAGAGCAAACAAATACCCTCCGTGGCGTGGACTTCTCTTTCAACTTGTCAGGCCTCCATGGGCACTCATTCCATGCGAGATCGGACTATTCTGCCCCCAAACCCACGTCGCCCTTGTGACCATGGCATCTGCGCATCTAACCACCGCCTGCAGCGGCACAGTGGCAAAGCCCACCCCTTCCGACAGCTTCACAGACTCGATGGCGCCCAAAACCCTGGCGCAACGAGCACGTCAGCTACGCCAAGACCATTCCAAGCACGTCCACAAACTGGGCTTCAGCAATGTCCATCTCGAGCTTGTGAATGTGGCTTCACTTTTCTTGGGGGGCTGCAATTGCACGAGCCCTCACGACTATGCTACTCAAGCCCTGTGGCCATTCAATCAGTGACGGCCTTGGCGAAAGCTACGTAAGAACGCCTGCAAATTGCAGGTCCTGCTGGCTGGGCGGAACCTTCGACAATAGATTCGTGCTAGGTTTCTCATGCGTATATCACATCGCACACCGGACATTAATGAACCAGAAAGGGGAAAGAGGGTGAATGCGGTGGACTCGCGTTACTTCTCTCGAGTTCCCTCTTCGCCTGCCTCAGCTCCCCGACGTGTTGCAGGGAGGCGGTCTGGCGGCTCTGGCCCGGGCAGCCGATGGAGCCCTCGCAGAAGCACAAGGCGTAGCGGCCGGAGCCCAAGGGCCACGGCATCTGCACGCGGACATCGGCACCTCAGACCCAAAGATCGGCCCCAAGCCTAAGGCTGCGGCTTGTGCATGAGGCGCAACTGGTCATGTGTCACAATGTTTGGGCGTTGGTCCAATGTGCCAGTTTGCCTGTTGTTCGTGGCATTCCAGGGATGCGAGGGTCATTCAAGAGTATAATTAACTTGTGCATACCCCCTGAATATCTTGAACAGCATGCCCACGAAGACTCAATCAGGTTCATAGTTTGAGAACAAGTTGCGCTCTTCTCTCTGATTTTTGGCAACCGTTCTGGATCCTGGATTCAAGCACGATTGCTGCCTCCCGCTTTAGAGGCACTTGCAGCAAAAACACGCGACTGCTGGCCAGGAGCCCTCAGGCACAAGCATGGCTTCTGTGACATCCGCAGCCGTGAGATCCTCGCAGGGGCGGTACTTGAGCTCGGCAATGAAGAGGCTGCCTCGGCCTGCCACCTGATACCCGCATCCCACACACACACACATTTGGGACCTGCCAAGAAATAGGGTCGGAACGGACACTTTCGTCCGACTGAGATTCATGTTACGTCAAGTAGTCGCCTGAACTGCTCAGGTTTGTGTCTGAAATAGTTTGGCCAAAAGGGCCCTGCCGGTGGGATCAACAGGGATGGGGAGAGGCAACACTCAATCCCCATTTCGCTGGGATTAAACTGGCACTGGATTGTTCAAGTGCAAAGGAAGCATCAAGATGCATCAGGTCCCCCCAAGGACATGAGGACTCTTCCGAAAAGAAAGAGCGGAAAGCAAGCATGAGGCGCCTTCCGTCTCGATTCCCGGCCCGCCTCCGCATTATTGCCTGTGAGCAGTACCGGGGTCTCTGGGCAAGCTGCTGCCGTGGGCACGCAGTCCATGCGAAGGCCTCCATTTAATCCCCCTGAGCGCACGTAGCCCATGAGCGTATCAAACACACGGCCAGGCCCGCTCTGACAGCTGAAGATCTTGTGCACCGCAGCAGAGCAATAGCACACCGTCGCCACGTCCCCGTCATATTCCACATCCAGAGTGACCACTGCAGTGCTGCCTTATTGCATCGTGAGCCCTTGGAACCCTAAGCGCCATGATGACATGGGCGACTCAAACAGCAGTCACAAAGCCCTGACGAAGTTCAACTTGTAAACCCAAAAGTACTCGAATCCGGAGAGACTAAGCTACATGGAGCCACACTTGTATAATGAGTTGTCAATTGAGTTGTCCGAAAACTCTTGTGGACGAGTGCAAATGCTTCTTGATCGACACCAACTGGAAGCCAATTACGGTCATGTGGGTATGCGGGTGTTAAATAGGTGACCTCCTTGTTTGCTGGCTTTCCATTTGGTACCCCTCTGCCACCGCGAGCAAGGCACCCTCAATACACAAAAGTACACACACACACAAACAAACAAATACAAAACACACACGCACATACACACACAAACACATACACACACACACTCACAAAAAGGCAAACAGAGACACATGTAGACTTTGTCATGCCAACTCTGCAGCTGGCGCGCCCAGCAGTGTGACGGTGGCTGGCGTGCCCATCTGCAGTGCCTTGAATTCGCAAACGGCAAAAAAAGCAAGCGGTACTGGTCCAAATGAATCAAGGACTTTCTACCATGCTCATCCATTTTCTGTTTGAACAGGCCCAAACCAGCCAAAGTTTTTCAAACCAAGCATCTTCACCGGCAAGTGTGACTAGATACGAGTCGGCATTGAACCAGAGCCTGACTTGACCGACCTTCATGCCCACGGAAGTATATGGCATAGCTCCTGGCCCCTACAACCACTGATCATCAGCTTTCAGACTGCTTAATTGCAGTTCAACGTCCTGAAAATGTGCGTGAGGATTCACGCCCCAACAGAGTTCTGATGTCACGCTGCACCGCAACAGAATCAGAGTCAAAAAGAAAGAAAAAACATAACCTGTTCCCCTTCCGCAATTTCCGCAAATTCCATCCATCCAAAGTTACCCCAGTTCCTGACAGCCACTGACTTGGAGTCTAAAATGACGCATCTCCAAGCGCCTCCACGTTGGAACAGCTGGCGTTGCCCGGCACCGCCACCGCGGCGTCGCGGCCTTGTACCATGCCATAGGCGTCCGCGCGGCCCAGGCGGCAGCGCTGGCCTTTGTAGCAGCGCACCTCCTCGGCCAGGAGGCTTGGGGTTTGCCCTGTGTAAACGTGTCCAACGATGGTTGAAACGGCCTCTTTTTGGCTTTCCAAAGGCGAGAGGCTGGCGAAAAACAAGTTTGGCCCAACCGGCCAGAAAGCCGGAGTTCTGCTGGGAATTAAATTTGAGGATGGCAGTACGGAGGACATACCGGGTGATTCAGTGATCCAAAAACACAAAGAAGAAACGGAACTAACCGTCATGTAAGTACAATGGCAATGGCAAAGGATTGCCCTTATCCGACACTTGCCGAGGTCTACAATGACACATGGCTCACAAGGAAGTCTGGCAAAGCTTGGACAGGCGATGTCCAAATGGCCATTCTGTTTGAGAAAGCAAAACGACGCGGGCAGCACATATCGATTTTTCATCAAGTTGCCGGCACTGAGCTGCCCCCAAAGCCGACCAGCGACAGGGCACCCGCGTGTTGCCAATCCGAGCTGCCGCAAACAGAGTCCCCAGTCCTCTGCAAACGGGTGGGGAGCACCCAAAATTGTTTCACATGCATTGGCACATGCTGCCTACAGCTGAGGTCGGGTTGGCCACTTTGGATTAAGCATGCCCACAGGCCAACAAACAGCAGTGCATAAACATATAAGATCATATAAGCAAGAGTCTTCTCGCAGTAGCAGACCTTGAGAAGCCGCTGAACGCCCTGGTCCAAGCTCGATGTTGCGAAGCCGTCCTCAGCACTTGCCAGGGACGCAGCTCCTGCACATCTGAAGGTTAGCAAGCCGCATCGCTGCGGCAACCGACCAAAGCCCCGCCCAAACAGAATGGGCTACGGAACAGGACAGCAAGTTAACCCATCTGCCGCGGAGCTAGGGGAGTGCCGGGCGGCACTTTGAAGTCAAACCTGAGCTTCCCGGCAGTCCGGCAATGGCAAGCCCAGTCAAGCGAAAAGCTGAAGGCCTTCCAGTGAGTTGTTCCTAGTCGCACAGGCTACAATAGAAGCAACCACAGCAAACTGCTCACGCTAATCGCGCCAATCATTGAAAAATGCTGAAACCCTGAGCTCTACGTTGTCGGGGTCCATTCAAGTGACATCCTTAGAGTTACGCTGTGAATAGTCGTTTGAGGGAAGCACACCCACCACTCACCCACCCAAAAAAAAATCCGTGGCAAACTCCTGGCATCGACGGAAAGCTACGCAGGTGTGCTCAGCTGTGACGTTGCTGAAATCGAACGCCTTATCGCCTTTTCTTCCTCGAAATGCCACACCAACTTCCATGGACCCACAAATAGGTTCAACTGTTCCCCCCCCATCCCCCATGCCCCACCGCCGAACCACCGAACTTCGCAAACCTCGCGGACGCTCGCGGAGCCATGGGGAGCCGGGCGGCGCGAAGGCGTTGCCGATGAGCGGCAGCAGCGTGGCGCTGCTCTGCGCCTCCCCGCAGATCTCCTCGCGGCTGCCCGCCACCAGCTCCGCGGAGTCATCCGCGGACAGCCCGCCTGGAGTCGAGGAACAAAAACCATCAAAACGACCAAAACGAGGAAACCGCCAAAACACGAAACATGAAACACAAAAGAAGTTGAAAAGCAAATTCTGGTTGGATGGCTGTGTTGAATGATAGTTTAAGAAGTCGAGCTGCATTTGCACTGGTTATGCCGGCTATGCTGATCTTATGTGGGCAGCTTGTTTTGCGCATCGGCAGCGGACGACTTTATGTGGCCATTTAAGTTTGCACACTGGCAATATCATTTCACCATCATTTGCTGAACTTTGAACCCAAGTCAATAGCCCTTTTTCGTTTGGTATCCCCGTCAAAAAGCGGCACTCGTGTCCAAACAAAGGACATATTTTTGCCGTATTTTGTGCTCGCGGCATCCCGAGAAGAACGCGCCTCGGTCAGAATGGATGGTCAGGCGGCAGTCTCCCAGCGACCCGTCAGTTACCAGGCATGCAGCGATGGGCTCCTCACTGTGCTTGATGCCCATGGAGTAGGCCACACCAACCTGTGCTGGAGTCAGAATCTGCGCAAAAAAAAAGGTCTGTCTGGCAGTTAGTTGCAGTCGAAGGTTCTTGGGCCAGAGCTTTTGAGGGTATCAGATGATATGGGCACACGGATACGGACAAACACAAGCTGTTGGAGTTTGTCAAGAAGAAACTGCCCACTAACACCACTCCAGCAACTGAAATCATGTAGCTGTAGCGAGCTTACGAAGCTACAGCTAAATGTGTTGTGGGGTATTGGAGGACCCTGCCCGTGAGGTTGTGTAGGGCAAACAGGGATGGGTCCAAGGAGGAGGCTCAGGCAATCGGAAGGGCTTGCCCTTGAGAAGGAAAACACTTGCTCTTCAAGCAAGGGGCCCTAGCTAGTTGCGCATCTACACTGAAGACGCACATCAAAAAAAACAAAAAAACGACAAGGTGAAACTGAGGCAAAAACAAAGAAAACCAGAGGCACAAGCACTCATAGCAAAGAACAAAAATGCTATAAGAACACGCGAACGAGCTGCGGGCAACCAGGCCAAGGCAAAAACACAACTGCAAACAGCACCAGCAAAACCAATAACGAACCAGTAACAACAACAGTACAATATCAACCTGCGAGACAAAACAGCAGTAGCTACGAACCAACCAGCGTACAAAACAAAGACGTATGCGGTACAGAAAGACACAATAGCGACACAACGCCCTACAAAGCGCACATGCGCACATCCTTGCCAATCCCAGGCGCATATCTGTACAAAGCAGCGTCCAGGTCACAAGGCGACTCGCTGGGTGCAAGGACAATGCCTGAATTCCTCAGCTGGAAAAGGCTCAGGCAATTGAGGACGGGGTTGGCCTTTTGAGACTACCCGATCAAAACAACGAATGGGCTTGGGGTGCGCGTGCTGCATGTCTGCCTGGAAAAATGCCACAAAAACAGCCTTGCTTGTTAAGGATGAATACTATTGCGAGTGAGTTGCCATATGTATTGATGGGCTTAAGGAGTTCTAAGCTTCCATTGGGCTATAACAGGTGACGCATTCTGAAGCTGAAGAAACATTGGAACTTTTCAACAACAACACCACCAAAAATCATATGTTCACCGCTACAACTACATGTTAGGCAAGTGGGTGGGAAGAAGCCAATGAAAAAGCAGCAGTTTGTAAGTTGTTGAAATCAGGCGGCTGCATGACGAGACTTGGTCAACAAAGGTGTGTGTCTCAAAAGGGGAATCGGACTCACCAAGGTCGGTGTCCTCTTGGCTCGCTGACGCACAAAAATATGACACACCCACAGAAGAAGCCCTTGATCCCGCCCCAAATTGGAATATTCCGACTGCGCCAAAAGGCTGTTGCCCATTGCAGGACAGCACCAAGAACCAGGGACTGAATCAGTTGTGATAGGGGGAGAAGAAGCCCCTCTGAACTTGAAATCAATGGGGTTGCTTTCTCTACAATTTGTCACCAAACCGTTGTTGGCACCGGCAAGTTTGGAAATGCGTGAATGCAGGCCCAAGCGGCTGCACGAATTCCACCTCTTCTGAGGAGGCGCAATAGCAAATTCGAAAGGAGCCTCGGTCTCGAAGCTGCACGGGGTACCAGCTGGCTTTGAGCCAGCCAGGCTGGTTGTCTGAAGCCACAGTGGGACCACCCCCGTGCACCAGCGGTGACGGCTCGTAGAAGCCATGATTGTACCTGACAAATTTGATGCAGCCGCACAATCGCCCTTTGCATGGGCCATCTTACAAGAACCCAAAACATGGGGAACCCCCCTTCAAACATGACATCCTAGGAGGCCAACCCCTTCACCCCTTCACCCCAAAACAGACAATATAGTTCTAGTTCGCAAACCCTTCCAGCTCTCGGACGCCGGTTCAGTGGGGGGCCGCCGGTTCACAAGGGGGATTGCCAAACAAGCTCATGTTTTTTTGCCAATCATACATGTTGAGCACACACTTCCACATATAAATTATGCTAATTCAAGTTGCCTTCTAATGTTGAATTACAAGGATGAACGGAATGCCCTGAACAGCTTGCTGTCAAAACAGAAACACAGTATGTAAGGCATTGCAATCTTAGTTGGTTTGTGCCCGCAAGAGCAACACACCCCATTTAGATAAGGACCAAACTGGACACCCCTGGTGCCCAAGTGCCCTACGAAGAACTTGTTTCCCCAAGGAATGTTCCTCTTGGGGGACAAGTATAAAATATCAGGGGAAGGGCTTCCATATAGATTCACGCTGGAAGCTATTTAAGTTAATCAAGCCCCGTTTGGGCTCAGCAAAAACAATTCAGCACCATAAAAGACGCGGATACACAGAACTGGCAACGGAGAGGGAGTGCTTGCGCTTCTCAGACGCCGCCGCATCAGATCGTCCAGGGCATCCACTGTTGGAGTCGCGCAAAAGGGCGCGGTCCTTGTGGGACAGCCCAGGACCTCATGGAAAGGTTCAGGGCTTGACATGTTCTTTGTTTGCATATTTGTTTCTCTCTAAAACTGAGCCCCGCCCGTCTCATCTCAAATCATTGGGTCACCACGATCTTCAAAGGCACCAAACACCGCATGTCATTGCAAAGTATCCCTGGGCTTCCCACATTCTAGTTGCCCTGTTGATGGGGGAGGAGGGAAACCCTTTGGTTTTTCAGATTAAGTAGGGGGCCAACTTGGAGAAAAGCTGTGAGTCTGCGTTTTGTTGGTCCGACCCGTGCCTGTCAGCTCCAGCTTAAAGGACGCTCCGGGCATGGTGAAAATCTCGGCAAACTCCGCAGGCCCCGCCGCCAAGGCCGCAACCATGGCCACGGGCAAAAGAAGGCATCGCATAGGTGATGCAATGCCTTGAGCTACTGCCACGCCATGGCAAGCGCAAGGAATGCGCAAGTCAACACCTTGCAATTTTGCCTATCTTCTCGGCTCCTGTGCACATCGCGCCCTGATTGCCAACATGTAAATGGCAACCTTTGGATGCGGGGACCGTTGAACTCTCTGATATTCACTTTGGCTGAGCCAAGCCTTGCATCACACGTGCGCTCTCGGTCTTCCTCTACCGAATGCCCCGCGGTCCCAAAAAACGCTGCAGCAGTCGAGGCTAGTGGGTCAACACAGTGGCGATGAATCTTTGCTCGGTGCCCCGAGCAATCAGCTTGCCTCTAACTGGTGGTTTGGGTTGGTGGTTTGCAGGAAGGGATGGTTTCCCATTTGCCTTCAAAAGGAGCCAGGGCTCAAATCAAGTAATGCACAGTTGGCTAGGTGTAGATTGCAGAAAATACCCCCGTCTGCTATAGCAAGGGGTTCTCCTGCTTCAACCACACAATGCTGTAGCTTGGCTCTTCCTGACAGCCAAGGTTTGACCACTGTCGTGGACTTTGGCTTCTGGATGCAGGATTGCAAACGTCGCTGTGATGCTCAATCGCATGAATGTGGCGCCGTTTGCCAGCGTTTGGCAAAGCTACAACTGGGAATGACAAAGCAACATTTTCCTGATGCACCCTCGCAGCAAAAGCTCCCCAAGCCCACGCATGTCACTCAACAGGCGAGAAGGAGCTGAAATGAGCTGGGTCGCAACCAAAACCTGGCAGTTAAAGTGGTCTACCCAAAACCACGTCAAGAGAACTGGGTTTCCGTTCGCAACGACGTAATCCCGCGTTTTCATACCTCAGCCCAACCTTACCACGGTGCGATCAAGCTGGAGGAACTCCGCCGTACTCAGCGACTCGTTGCTGAGGTAGCGGGTCCGCGTCGGGAAGTCGCCAAACATCGATGGAAGCACCTTGGCACGTGGCCCATTGAAAAATAGTTGTTGGCCATGATTGTTTCCCATGGCCGCCCTTGTTGTTTCTCGAGATTGTGGGATTTTCTCCGGGCCCAGAAAGGGTTTAGGGTGGGTTTAGGCAGGGGCTAAGGTTGGTGTAGTTGGTGTGGGATCGGTTTGTAGGTTTGGTTTTGGTTCAGGATTAGAGTGGGTTGAGGTGGTTGCGGTGTTTGTTGAGGGTTTTCCGGTGTTCAGGAAAACGGATGCTTTCCCATGATGTATGCGCTTTGGGGATGTTTGTTTTTGCAGGCCTCAAGTTCTGGCTTGACAGACTTCATAACCTTCTGACCCTGTGGCAACTCAGCCCCTGACGGAATTCAGCCGGGGCTGGCCCTCCTTGAAGCGGCAGGTGGGCATTCGCTTCCTGCGGTGCAATTCTCGGGGGATCTTGACAAAGTGATGCTGGCATCCAGGTCACATGACGGCTGTCTGAAATTCCTTGTTCCGGAAACCGCCATCTTCGCGAGAAAAAAAATAACTTTTGCGGACCCCATCGCGGAACTTTCGCGGGGCTGTTTGCAGAACATTCATCACAAAAGTAGTAGACGAAGTACACTTTTGCAGCCCCACCTCGAAAGTCGCAGCTTTTCAATACGAAAGTAGTGCAAAAAGTAAACTTCCGCAGCCCGGCTTGAATGTCGCAACTTTTCAATACGAAAGTAGTACACGAACTAAACTTCAGCAGCCTCGAAAGTCAAAACTGTTTAACACGAAAGTAGTACACAAAGTAAACTTCCGCAGCCCCTTTCAGTTCCAAAGTAGCACGCGAAGCGAGCTTCCGCAGCTCCAAGCTCACAAGTTGTTAGCTAATTACACACGAGAGGACCCGCTGGCCTCATGTCCGGAAACTGGCGGGGAGGTCCGTTGACTTTCGCGAAACTTTCGCGGATCTTACTCCAAACATTCGCGAAAATCCGGCTGGAAGTTGCACTCAACTTGACCCGAAAGCTTCAAAACTCCCACAAGTGGTGTCTGCTGGCTGGGGGTTGCTTTTGCAGCAGCGTATTCTGCGGCGACACTCAGGCTGCGCATTCCCCGACCAACTTTAGTCTGCAGGCATTCTGCGCATGCACTGCCGGTAAATACACATGATTCGTCACTCCAGCTGCCTGTTAGCAAGCCACCCTTACAGAAAACTTTCGCGAATAAAAAATTGACTTTCGCGACCCCCTTCGCGGAACTTTCGCGGAGGTCAACGCCAAGACCAAAAGGTCTTCCCTTTCATAGCTCAGTACAAGGACCTTTCGGACGACTCTCACATACTGAAACTTGCAATCTGGAACTCTGGAACACATCGTACCGAAACGCCATACGCGGCTCACCCATGCACACCAACTCTGAGTGCCAACAAAGGAAATTTGCTGATGCGTGTTGCATTTGCACACTGCCCTCAACAAATCATCTGTCGCGGCTCCAGTCTGTATTCATATTGCTGTAAAGCGAGTTGAAGCCTTTGAGTTCCTTGAAGAGCCTCAGCTGACTGCAGGAATTAGGCCTGGCGGGCAACTACAAGCAACAAGCATGATTGTACCTTCGAGGTGCAAGCGCAAGCAAGTCTGCTGGACGGGCCATCATTTTACAACACCGATTCGCAATCGTTTCACAATGTTTCACAACGCCTTCAACGCACACAATTTCACGATGATTTGCGATCATAGACCGAACTTGCGATCATTTTCCATGGGAACAGCACGCGTTCGCAGAATTCAAGACATTGTAAACTGAAATCGTAAACTGGGGTTGTTGAAAAGTGTATGTACTTGTGGTTACGGGAGTAGGCGTGCGAGTGGACGTACGAGTGGACGTGGACGTACATCCACTCGAGTGGTGTACGAGTGGATGTGCGAGTGGACGTACGAGCGCACTAGTCACGATGTGTGAACTGGCGGCTCGCTTTTAGGCGGACCATCTCGCCTCCAGGGCTTCATGCTGCAGTGGAAGCCATGGAAACCGAGAAGAGACTGCACACCATGGACACCACGGAAACCGTGGAAACATCGGAAGGTCCGCGTTAAGAAACGATCAGCCAGTCGAGTGTGACTGACATGGACCGTCATTGTGTTTCAAAGTTAGATCTAGTTTCCATTGAGAGCACTGAGCAGGCTAAAAGTTACCATAACCAAGCAAGCCTTGACTGTTTTGCGGCAGTTGTAAACAGTCTGGGATACAGGCACATCCAAGGACCGCTTGTGGTTCAAGTACAAACCTAACGAAAAACAACTTGCTGCCTACGTAGTTGGCTTGCAGTATTATTGCTATGCACATTCGGCCAGTCAAACGCCTTCCTAGCGCCTTGCTGGTCATGCAGTGGGTGGACTGCTCGTGACCAAATTCAAGACAAACAAGATCCTTCTCCAGCTTTTCAGGTCCTCAACCACTTCAGCTACCGCATGCTAATTGTCGACCACGCCGCTTGCGATAGTTCATTGGGTCTTGGTGCGACCGCTCCACGTCAAGAGCAGCAGCCACGCGCATCTCCTATCAGAATCACGCTGTTGGGCGGCACCGGAGCTTTGCAGGCCAACATTGTCGCATCGGAAAACCTACCTTTTACCGTCTCCGCTTTAAGCACGCGAAAAGGAACCCACTGATTCTTCAGGCGCTGTGACTCAAACACTTGCCACACCTGCAAGATCCTGTCATACCCTGCCTCGTAGGCAACACCTTGTCGCATCGGCACGTCGTCGACCAAGCCATATCTGCCAGATTCCAAAGCGAACAACAAAGACCGTATTCTGAAACTGGTACGCAGCAACACGGTTTTGCAGTTTGCAAAACATTGGACTCTTGGCTCCTTTGGTTGTTTTTCGGGCTGAGGGCAGGGGAGAAAAGCAGAAGGAATCACTGCATCCTGGCGCCACAGGTTTTGGATACACCCATGCAATCTATCAGTCATGAAAGACAAACTGCCACGAAGACGGCTTTAGCCGGCAGCCATCGTGTGGAACTTCGCCACCTGACATGATATGCAGGCAGTTCAATCCAAGGCACTGAATCTTGCCGTCCACCAGCTCAAGCACCTCAATCCAAACCGGGGCTTAATGATTCACTCTGGCTGTTGGCCAAGAAGGAATCTCATCTACATGTCTGTCCGAATATGAGAACCGCGTTCCGTTTCGTTTGCAAAACTATACATGCCTGCCACATCTTATCCAAAACATGCATGTGGCATCTTATCCGGAAGAACAATGAAATTGGTTCTTCTGTCAGCCTGAGGTTTGCTATAGTAGGACGTTTGCATGCCCAGTATGCTTTCCGAGAACGCCTTCTTTGCTGGGGGGGGGTGCAGGTTTCAGGCAAGCAAATTGGCATATGCAGCTGCAGCCAGAGCTGCTGGGCCAGAGTAGGCCAATCCTCTGAGGTTTCCGATGGATTTGAACTCGTCGAAAGGTGCCATGCGGAAATTCCAATCGCCTGCCGAGTCAGAGCTTCACTCCACCCTCTATGCCCCAACAGCCAGCAGATCAACTACACAAGAACTGCTGCATCTTCTCCGAATGCTGTTTACGCTAATAGGCCCTGTGTCTCGCAAGCACAACCTAATGTGCGGTACCAGTAGCTTGGAAGTGTCTGAAGTTGTCTGAATTCAGGCCCTTGCCCTTCTTGAGCAATTGTCATGCCGGCCACTCGCAGGCCCCACTCTAGTTTGGCAATATGGCTGCCAGCGTTGGCAATCTGGACACCTCTCCGCATCAGACTAGTCCGCATGTTCTGGCGGCGATCATGCATTCGCGTTTATGCTTTGCACGATGCTCCTCAATTTGTCAATGTTTGTCAGGGGTGGCCCGTTTTGCCGAAAACAAACATGAAACAAGACCACCTGAAGAGACCAAACCGCGCCTGTCATGATGGCAGGCACCCGATGCAAGTCTGAGGCCAGCTGCACCGCCCACACCGCGTCTGCGAGCTCCTGCCACATCAAGGAACAGTTGTGCGCGCCGACTGTCAACACGCTTGTGCACCAACAAGGAACACTCTTGAAAGC